AAACCAAGTTTTGATGTTCTTATCAAAGGCAACCCTTGCCAGCTCGTGGTTGAGGGGTGTCAGCTGTATACAAGGAGCGCCAGCTAAGGATATTGTAATAACAGTAGCCTGACACGCAACGGACAACGACACGGGCCATGGACACACGCACACACGCACACACACACACACACACACAAGGACTAACGCAGGAGTATCATCAAGTCCATGTTGAATGCAGCTAGCGCTTGGAAGGAATGCAGCTTTTACAGTTAGCAACAATGGGCAGCAACGCTTGCAGCCACAATAAAAGACACAAGACACAGGCCACAAGACAGACAACAACCCAAGCGAAATAAAACCGCAGACACGCCAATGCCAGCGGCAGCTCGCGCTCCGGCCACGCTTCTGGACAGGAGGGCAGGATACAAGTGCCGGCAGTCCTGTGTTCAGCATTCTGACGCACTGACGACTCTCGTGGCAAGGACATATGCGCTGCTGGCAAGTTCATTTTGCACTTGCAGTGCAAAAATTTAATCAAGTAGTGCAGCGCCAAGCGAGACCCAAGCAACCAACAGCCAACCCATACACCGCCCACACCACCCGCAACAAACCAAGGCCCACAGCCAGAAAAGTTGTCTTGGCCAGCAACACGCGCCAGCCCCTTGCGTGTAATGCGAGATTCGTTCAACATTTACAATGATTTTGTGATTCTTCCGACACTTTATGGCCAGCCAAGCTGACAGCCAAGGCCCCGACCCCGCGTCGAAGGACCCCATTCGCTGGTTAGTTGTGTTTGGTCTCCTTTTTTTATGCGATCTGGAGCATAATGGAGTGAAAGACTTTAAGCAAGCGGGGCCCTTGCTCAATGCTGTATTAAGTTCCAGCGTAAGGTTCACGAAAAGTGGTTTTTCTTTTTCTAGCCTTTTATACTTTTGGGTGCCATGTGATATCAGGGCCAACACAAAGCCGAGCAGCTGGCCAAGTTTCCCAACAGCTGAAAGCCATTATTTTTTTTGTCGCGCTAAGTGTATAAATATTTGGTTAATTCGATTTTTAGCTATGATTGTCCAAACGCAATTCTTGTTGATTTCAAATACTCAAGGGTTGCGACTGGGCATCGCGGCTCGAAATGAGAATCCAACCCACAACCAAACAACAAATAATAATAATCAAATAGAATAAGAACAAAAGCCAATTAGCTATACTTTATGTTTAGAGCGAAATCCAATTAAATTCGTTTCATTATCAGCTTATTGTGTATTGCTAATTAACAACAATTATTGTAACACTCAACTTGAAGTATCTTTAAGGAGCAAGACAGAAACAAACAAACAAAAAATGTTGGAAATTTAATTGAATGCGTTCAAAGTTTTTGTGCATTTTTAAACAGAGTTCGTCAAAGAAGCAGCACAAATTACGAATTCACAATAAAAAATTCATTGCCTAGACAACAAGTTTTGCCTTGGCTCGCCTTTTGATATCTATATTATTTAAGTTTTAGGTTAAACAAATGAATTCCTCAATTTATATTCAAATTGAAATACCAAGAAATAAAATGTTGGAATTTAATAAGTTTTGTGTGTAATAAATTTAATAAAAAAAAATAAGTATGAGAAGTTGGTCCTAGAGTAAGGTATAGTACAGCAGGCTGGTAAAAATATTTGGAATTGTATTGACCGAAGGCTGATTTGATTTTAGAAATTTAGTTAAATAGTCTGTAACTATAGTACTAATAAATCTTTAATTAGCTGGCTTGAGGTTATGGTTAAGACAACTAAAATTGTTTTCCGATTTATTATAATACAAGAAACAAAAACTGTGCAGCTTAAAAATGCAAGTTGTGTGGGTTCTCTGGCATGCTTTGCAATGTCTTTTTGGGGCATTAACTGTCTTGAAGTCTTACGGATCGAAACATTAATCAAATCAATCGAATAATGTGTTCTTAAATGAAGAGCAAAGTCTATTTAGCTACTAGAAAATCAATTGAATTCTTAAATGAGCAAAGCAACATTTGTCAGCATGTCTCTATACTTTTTTTATACGAGCCAAGCATCTCAACACGTCGGAAATCTGAACCAAGTCTGGCAAGATGAAATCCTTATGACACCCTAAGCACAATTGCACTTGCTTGCTATATTTTTAATGAGTAAATGTCAACTCAACATTTATGATTGCACTTTACGTTTCCTTGGCCAATGACTAAGACAAAACTACACCCATCCACACTAGACCGGATCCTTATTTTGCAGTTGACAGATTTACTAAAATAACTCATTTAGCTCGACTATTAATAACGGAAGCGCATTAAGAGATTGCAAGAAAGTAAATACAAATAAAGAAAATGAAATAAAATTTAATGAAAAACTTACTCAAGATTTTCGCGTGCATTGATCAAATTAATAAATATCCAATAAATATGTTGGGCGGAAAACTTGTTTATGAGCTGCAAAAAGTCAGATAGATAATAATTTATGTTTTCATTATTATGATGCATATTAAAACAGGTGAATAATCAAGTAAGTGTAAAACAGGTGCTAATTAGTATACTAGCTGGTAAGTAAAATCTATTGCAGAGTAAAGGCTTCTGTTTTGTGGGTGGGTAGTTTTTGTGCCATAGCCCCGGGGACGGCATTTCGTGGAGCTCTTGAGTAACAAAGTTTTAGTTTGGCTTTTAAGAAGTGAAGCAAAAATAATGTTTACAATTTTTCTCATGTACTTAGTTTTGCAACAACTGCGGGCACAGTTTGGGGAAGGGGGCAGCGCAAGACAGGCAAAGTTGAATGTATTATTTTGTTGTTATTTTTTTTTTTCATTATATAAAACAAGAATCCACCCACATGGCAGCATTGTACTAAAGGCACGGAGCAACAGCAGCAGCAGCAGCAGCAAATGGAAAGGCAACAGCAACTTTTTGTATAGAAAAGCTATTTTGCAGCAAATATTTGCCAAGCATATTTATTCGCTTTCCGCCAGCCACTTTTGACAAATTATGACTTTGCTATTTCTTGCCCCCAAACACAGAGCTTTGTGTGTGTGTTTTTTATTTTCTCACAAACTATGGCAGTAAGTTGCCATGACAGCGCTGCCACATTATACAACAAGTGCTCAAAATAATAAAGTTAACAGCACTTTAATAGTTAGCTCGTCCCGCCCAAAGCCGGTGGCAAGTGGCAGACGCCCACAAAGATTGGACTTGGGAGTTTTGATACGAATCGGCAAACGGCAAACGGCAACGGCAACGGCAACATGTTGCCCGGCAACGGGGCATAAATGAGGGGCTTATCCTATCGAGCAGCAAAACTTGAGCAATAAAATTGCTTTTATACTCTGGTACATATAGGAGTCTATGGCAGCATTGAAATATTCTTGGCATGCTCATTGGCAAAGCCAGCAGCAGGAACAGCAGCAGGAGCAGCACAAGTAGTCGAGAGTCAGATAAATTTCTCTACTTTGATTTTGCGCTTAATAAAAGTCAAATTTAAATTCGGCTGACTACGCACGGCCACCAGTTGCCCCTACCTCCTGCTGCTCCTGCTCCTGTTGCTACATGTGTGGAACCTGCTCCCAATAATGGACGAAGCAGCAGCAGCATTTTTTATTGCCAGCCGATGACAAGACTTCGTAGCTGGCAGCACAGCTTAGGAATGTAATAAACTTGAAGCGCCTCCCGCCTCCACTCGGACTTTTATGGCGCATACATAAAAGGAAATTGGAGCAGAAGGGTAAGCAGCCAGTACAGCTAACCAAATGGAAAAGTCAAAGAGTGGCCGCAGCAGTCAGCGTGGAGCGAGCGAGTGAACGAACGGCAGCTGGATGGGGCAGCTAATGAGCTCTGTGGAACATAAGTGCGGCATGCGGGGCGTATGCTTAATATCAGCGCCAGTTGGCGCGCTGCAGCCTCAAAGCGCTTACATATAAATGTGCCGGGTGAGACGCACGCCCAAAGTGCCAAGCGGAAAGTTGTGCATAATTCAATTAACTAGAAACATGCAAATGAAAACTTTGCTGGCGACAAGGCCGCGGGCAAAAGAAGCGGGCAGCAAAAGTGCAGCCAAAGACCCAAAAAGAGTGCCACGAAAGATCCAAGACCAAGGGCGGGGGAAGAGCTGATGGCGGGGAAAGGGTTGGAGTAGTGCTCTGCTCTGCTGTTGCTTTTAATGTTGCAAACAAATTGGACAACTCTCCAATGGAATTGCGCAAAAATATTTCTAATTATTTCAGAGCAGAGCAAAACAGAGCGCCTGGCAACCAGCTCTAGCTACTCAGCCCCCCTCACTACCACAAGCCATGTCGCCCACTCCCCATGCTCAGTCGCATCCTTGACTCTCCTGGTTGCTAAGTCAACTATGCGTGTATATCAGAAGTATAAAATGCAATAACGTAATGAGTAATTGCGCAAAAGTAATAAAGGACACGGCGCACAGTTACGCAAAAAGCAGCATACAATCTGTTGCAGGGATAACAAGGATATAGCCGGCAGCAGCAATTATGGATGTGGTGGGCGGGCGGCTCAACAAAAGTTGTCAACGGCAGGCAACTGGCGAACTGGCGTGGGGCATGGGGCAACTGGCAACTTAAAACAAAAGCCAGCCCCGGGGTCATCGTTGCCATTTGGGGCGTGGCATGGGCGTACGTGCAACGTGGCCACAAAAAAGTTGAAGCTCAGCTCACGCGTTGCTGCCGCGTGACTCCAATTGCTGGCCCCGCCGCTAGTTGGCTTGGACACAGCCTGAGCTGGACGGGACTCGACCGTGGAGGCGGTGGCCAACGTTTGGCTTTAGCTTTGTGGGTCTGCCTGTTCGGGGCGGGGCATTGGTGATGTGTGTTTGTGTGTATGTATGTGTGTGCGCCTCGTGCCAGCCAGCCAAAAAGGATATTAATTTCCCAAAGGTGCCGTTTCCAGCCAGCGAAAATCACGCAAAATGCGCTAGGGCGGGGCGGGTGTGCCACAAGCACAACTTAAAACAACAACAGCAACAACAACACGGAATAAAAAATAAAACTCACGCACACAGAAATTAAAAACTTTCAATAGCAACAATTTTCATTTAAAAATTCATCGCCATGCGCTGGGACCGCGACAATGTGCCCCAAAACGTGGCAAGGCTGTGGGCTGAGGAGACGCAGCGTGTCGTGTTGCTGCTGCTGCTGTTGATGGCCATTGAAGCGGCAAACAAAAGTGACAAACAGATTTATTAAAACTGTAAATCTGCATTGTTCGCTTAGTTTGTCTAACAACAAATTGCAACAGAAAACCGTTTCGAACGTTATTGACGTTGCGTCTGTTAGTGACGGTGAGTTACCCTATAATAATAAGCAAACTATATATGTGCGCTTACCCATTAATTTGATTAAAATTCAGTTTCACTTTATTACTTTTTCACTTTTTACACACGCTTGTTGCAGCAGCGCAGCCAACTTCAAGCCGATCTCGCCGCTATTGAGAGCTCTACAGATAGTTCCGTTATTTGGCAGTAAAGAGCGTATTTCAAGAGCGTGTGACGTCACAATTTCGGCTTGTGCTTTGCTAGGCTCTCTCAATCGCAGATGTAGCGTTGCCAACTTTTAATATTTTTTTCTGTTCCTAAATTGTGAGTTCTTGAATATAAATGCGCCACAATGCAAATTAAATAACCCGTTTAGTGCACTGCAGCACTGGGTATAACAAAAGTTGTTAGCCGCTTTAGGGGGCGTGCTGCAATTAAAACTATTTTGGATAAAACAATATCGACGCTGTTGCTATCGCTTTCGTAGTTTTAGTTTGTTGCTGCTGCCGTTGCTCCTGTTATTGTTGTTTCTGTTGTTGTTGCCAGTTGTACATGTTGATGGTTGGCAACATTTCATTAGAGCGCCGACGGGGCTTGGCCGAGGTCAAACCACAGCGTGCAACGCCAAGTGGGAGCAGCCAGCCAGCCGGGCGGGCAGTCAGAGAGACAAGACAAAAGCTGATTACTTGCTGCATTGGCTGCACAGGACATGGCAAGCAGGCGGGCAGCCAGGCAGCCGGGCGGACAGGCAGGCAAAAGGCACTGGGCCAGGGCCGGGCTTTAAGTTGGACTTGGGCGTTGGTTCCCGCTTGATTCGCCATGGCTGCCATTGCTGTTTGTTGTTTATTTTTGCGAGCGTTGCGAAATTGCAAAGCATGTCCTGTTCCAGGGGCTAAATAGAGCAATGCAATGCAATAAGGTCGAGACTAGCTAAGCAACAACAGCTGTTGACAGCAGGAGATGTAAGAAACAAAACAAGAATAAGACTGCTCCAGTTGGGAGTGCTCAACTAGTATATACCCTGCAGAAATTCCATAACAAACAACCCAGATGTAAAGTCAGCCGGGCGGACACAGAAGTGGTTAGAGCGACCAAGAGAACATATCCTTAATGTTTCCCCGAGGGACCTACATACTCTGTCTTCACTTTTTCGCTGGGTATGCAAACTCGCTTTATACATTTGCTGCTTGGCCAGAAACTATGCCTTTTTAATGCCTTAAAAACTAGTAAACAAAATGTGATTTGCTTGCAGCGCGGTGCTAACAAGGCTTTGTCTTGGGTTTGCACAGCTCCTGCATGCCAAAGCCCGCGGGCGGTGCTTCCATCAGTAATGAGGTGGGCCCCGTGATCGGCTCACTGGCAAAACGGCCACTGCGCGGTCCAGGTGGTGGCAATTTGCCATCTTTCAGTTCGCACAAGATCTTCTCTGTTTCGTCCACGTTGAGATCCTCGTAGAGATCATCATTGACAGACATAACGGGGCCATTGACGCAGGCGCCCATGCAGTAAGTAGTATTCAGTGTAAACTCCATATCCTTTGAGGTCTCGCCATCCTTTAAATCCAATGTTTTCTCACAGATACGCAAAACGTCCGCACAGCCGCGCAGCTGACAGGGTGTCGTCATGCACACCTTCACACGGTACTTGCCAATGGGACGCATATTAAACATGGTATAGAAGTTGGCCACCTCCCACACGGCGAACGGCTCCAGTTTTAGCACTTCGGCCACAGCCTGTATGGCTGTGATCGGCAGCCAGCCATGCTGTCGCTGAGCCAAGTCCAGCAAGGGCAACAGAGCACCGCGCAGCTCCTTCTCCGGATACGAGCCCAACAATTCCTTGACGCGGCACTTGTTCTCCTCAGTAAACTCGAACTTCAGCTTATCGTACATATTGCATGCGTCGACCTTGTAGCGTGGCGGTGTGGCGCATATGACGCGGCTGGGCTGTGCGTGCAGTACAAGGCGTGGCAGCTGATACAGGCGCAACAAATTTGCGTACATCTTGATTGGAGTCGGGCACCAAAGTGGATTTATATGTATTAATATACTCAATATGTATATGTATTATTTTATATGTACATGTGCCTCTCGAGTATGTGGATTGTAAACTGGCAGAGCTGGCAGCTAGCTCGACGCATGTGAGAAACGCAAGCTGTACCGCCTGCCTCGCCTGTAGTTTTGTATTTCAATTTGATATTGAAAATTGTCAGCGCTTTGTTCCCATTACGCACGCCTCTGTGGCAAGCGCAATCAAATTAGCAATATGCCATCGAATAGGTGAGAGGCGTCAGGAATTGGTTTGCCCTGTTTTGCCATGGCAACAATCGTCATTTGATGCGTCTGGCGGCAATAACTAACTGGCACAATATGTCAATCAGTACCCGATCGGGCGCCCAACGTGCTGAAAATTGCTCAAATTGTTCAAATTGCATGCCCCGCCTAATTGGCAATATAGAGAGCAAAAGCAAGAGCGACCACTTTGCCTGGAGGCCACACGGAGCTCAGCCTCACAGACTCCCACAATTTTTTGGTGGGCGCGTGTCGCAGTCAATCACTTTGATGGGGCGCCATTGTTATCAACACCTGTCCTGGGCTTTTACGCTTCCCATTTGCCGCATTCCTGCCTTTCTTTTTACAGCTTTTAATGTATACCAGCTGCCTCCCCCTGCCTCCACACACCAGCCCGCAATATCTCGTAAAATGTGTAATTCAGTAAAGTGTCTAATAAAAGTTTGCCATAAGCGATAATCGATAAATGCTGTTCAAAATTCCATTGATTACAGATCACATGGGTTCGCGGCCATAAACGAAAACAATTGAAAACTTCCCATTCTACCAATTAACTTTTGACTACAAGCTAGATTAAATTTCGGGTTATTCATTGGATACCAACTTTATAGTTGGATAATCTCTGTATATAAAACAGTTTGTCCTAGCAGACTGGCTGATTGGTGATCGACCCACAGCCCGAATCATTAGAGTTACGAAGCTGAAATATCCGATAGAGATAGAGATAGAGTATTGAGATAGAACCGAGCTATGATGGGAAATGGAGATGGAAATGTTGATTATGTCTATGTAGGACATTTTAAGAGTTCAATTTTATTACATGAATTTCGACAAAAATTAGCGTTGCCAGATTTTGATGCACAATTAACATAGAGGTCAAACCATTAACAAAAATCCAAATCTCGTGAAAAGCAGTTGAGTTTTGGCCGAGTTATGGGGGTGGGAAATTTCGACCTGTCTATATATGATATTTGAGGGTACAATTTTTACATGAATTTCGACCAAAAATAGCGTTGCCAGATTTTGATACACAATTAATATAGAGGTCAAACCATGAACAAAAATCCAAACCTCGTGAAAATCGGTTGAGTTTTGGCCGAGTTATGGGGGTGGGAAATTTTGACTTATGTCCATATAAGATATTTGAGATATTTGCGTGTACAATTTTGTACATGAATTTCGACCAAAAATAGCGTTGCCAGATTTTAATGTACAATTCATATGGAGGTCAAAACATGAACATAAATGTAAACCTTGGTAAAATCGGTTGAGTTTTGGCCGAGTCATGGGGGTGGGAAATTTCGACCTATTGGTATATATGATATTTGAGGGTACAATTTTGTACATGAATTTCGACCAACAATAGCATTGCCAGATTTTAATGCACAATTAATAAAGAGGTCAAACCATGAACAAAAATCCAAACCTCGTGAAAATCGGTTGAGTTTTGACCATGTTATGGGGGTGGGAAATTTTCACTTATGTCCACATAGGATATTTAAGGGTTCAATTTTTTTACATGAATTTCGACCAAAAATAGCGTTGCCAGATTTTGATGCACAATTAATATAGAGGTCAAATCATGAACAAAAATGCAAACAACGGTGATATCGGTTAAGTTTTGGCCGAGTTATGGGGGCGGGAAATTTCGACCTATGTCTATATATGATATTTGAGGGTACAATTTTTTACATGATTTTCGACCAAAAATAGCGTTGCCAGATTTTGATGCACAATTAATATAGAGGTCAAACCATGAACAAAAATCCAAACCTCGTGAAAATCGGTTGAGTTTTGACCATATTATGGGGGTGGGAAATTTTCACTTATGTCCATATAGGATATTTGAGGGTACAATTTTTTACATGAAATTCGACCAAAAATAGCGTTGCCAGATTTTGATGCACAATTAATATAGAGGTCAAACCATGAACAAAAATGTAAACCTCGTGAAAATAGGTTGAGTTTTGGCCGAGTTATGGGGGTGGGAAATTTCGACCTATATTTATATATGATATTTGAGGGTACAATTTTTTACATGAATTTCGACCAATAATAGCGTTGCCAGATTTTGATGCACAATTAATATAGAAGTCAAACCATGAACAAAAATGTAAACCTCGTGAAAATAGGTTGACTTTTGGCCGATTTATGGGGGTGGGAAATTTCGACCTAAATCTATATATGATATTTGAGGGTACAATTTTTACATGAATTTCGACCAAAAATAGCGTTGCCAGATTTTGATGCACAATTAATATAGAGGTCAAACCATGAACAAAAATGTAAACCAGGTGAAAATAGGTTGAGTTTTGGCCGAGTTATGGGGGTGGGAAATTTCGACCTATGGGTATATATGATATTTGATGGTACAATTTTTACATGAAATTCGACCAAAAATAGCGTTGCCAGATTTTGATGCACAATTAACATATAGGTCAAACCATGAACAAAAATCCAAACCTCGTGAAAATCGGTTGAGTTTTGACCATGTTATGGGGGTGGGAAATTTTCACTTATGTCCACATAGGATATTTGAGGGTACAATTTTTTACATGATTTTCGACCAAAAATAGCGTTGCCAGATTTTGATGCACAATTAACATAGAGTTTAAACCATGAACAAAAATCCAAACCTCGTGAAAATCGGTTGAGTTTTGGCCGATTTATGGGGGTGGGAAATTTCAACCTATGTCTATATATGATATTTGAGGGTACAATTTTTTACATGGATTTCGACCAAAAATAGCGTTGCCAGATTTTGATGCACAATTAATATAGAGGTCAAACCATGAACAAAAATGTAAACCTCGTGAAAATAGGTTGAGTTTTGGCCGATTTATGGGGGTGGGAAATTTTCACTTATGTCCACATAGGATATTTGAGGGTACAATTTTTTACATGAATTTCGACCAAAAATAGCGTTGCCAGATTTTGATGCACAATTAATATAGAGGTCAAACCATGAACAAAAATGTAAACCTCGTGAAAATAGGTTGAGTTTTGGCCGAGTTATGGGGGTGGGAAATTTCGACCTATATCTATATATGATATTTGAGGGTACAATTTTTACATGAATTTCGACCAAAAATAGCGTTGCCAGATTTTGATTTCCAATTAATATAGAGGTCAAACCATGAACAAAAATGTAAGCCTCGTGAAAATCGGTTGAGTTTTGGCCGACTTATGGGGGTGGGAAATTTTCACTTATGTCCACATAGGATATTTGTGGGTACAATTTTTTACATGAATTTCGACCAAAAATAGCGTTGCCAGATTTTGATGCACAATTAATATAGAGGTCAAACCATGAACAAAAATGTAAACCTCGTGAAAAAAGGTTGAGTTTTGGCCGAGTTATGGGGGTGGGAAATTTCGACCTAAATCTATATATGATATTTGAGGGTACAATTTTTACATGAATTTCGACCAAAAATAGCGTTGCCAGATTTTGATGCACAATTAATATAGAGGTCAAACCATGAACAAAAATGTAAACCAGGTGAACATAGGTTGAGTTTAGTTGGCCGAGTTATGGGGGTGGGAAATTTCGACCTATGGGTATATATGATATTTGAGGGTACAATTTTTACATGAAATTCGACCAAAAATAGCGTTGCCAGATTTTGATGCACAATTAACATATAGGTCAAACCATGAACAAAAATCCAAACCTCGTGAAAATCGGTTGAGTTTTGACCATGTTATGGGGGTGGGAAATTTTCACTTATGTCCACATAGGATATTCGAGGGTACAATTTTTTACATGATTTTCGACCAAAAATAGCGTTGCCAGATTTTGATGCACAATTAACATAGAGGTCAAACCATGAACAAAAATCCAAACCTCGTGAAAATCGGTTGAGTTTTGGCCGATTTATGGGGGTGGGAAATTTCAACCTATGTCTATATATGATATTTGAGGGTACAATTTTTTACATGGATTTCGACCAAAAATAGCGTTGCCAGATTTTGATGCACAATTAATATAGAGGTCAAACCATGAACAAAAATGTAAACCTCGTGAAAATAGGTTGAGTTTTGGCCGAGTAATGGGGGTGGGAAATTTCGACCTATATCTATATATGATATTTGAGGGTACAATTTTTACATGAATTTCGACCAAAAATAGCGTTGCCAGATTTTGATGCCCAATTAATATAGAGGTCAAACCATGAACAAAAATGTAAACTTCGTGAAAATCGGTTGAGTTTTGGCCGATTTATGGGGGTGGGAAATTTTCACTTATGTCCACATAGGATATTTGAGGGTACAATTTTTTACATGAATTTCGACCAAAAATAGCGTTGCCAGATTTTGATGCACAATTAATATAGAGGTCAAACCATGAACAAAAATGTAAACCTCGTGAAAATAGGTTGAGTTTTGGCCGAGTTATGGGGGTGGGAAATTTCAACCTATGTCTATATATGATATTTGAGGGTACAATTTTTTACATGGATTTCGGCCAAAAATAGCGTTGCCAGATTTTGATGCACAATTAATATAGAGGTCAAACCATGAACAAAAATGTAAACCTCGTGAAAATAGGTTGAGTTTTGGCCGAGTTATGGGGGTGGGAAATTTCGACCTATATTTATATATGATATTTGAGGGTACAATTTTTTACATGAATTTCGACCAAGAATAGCGTTGCCAGATTTTGATGCACAATTAATATAGAAGTCAAACCATGAACAAAAATGTAAACCTCGTGAAAATAGGTTGAGTTTTGGCCGATTTATGGGGGTGGGAAATTTCGACCTAAATCTATATATGATATTTGAGGGTACAATTTTTACATGAATTTC